CATACAAGAAATGACATGTCTTATCTTAGTCATCCACATATATCTATTAGATTCTTAATGCACCAAATGGATCACCCATGTGTAAGCCTTTACTGAGTCTATCAAAATGAATGTCAAAGTACATAAATCCTCTAATGAGATAATTATGACGACTTCAAGTCAAATGATCGGTTATGCCCATCTCGTAAGAGATTCTCATAGACTAAACCAAATGAGTTCCAATGGTGAGTCAAGTCTAGTGATATACTTTCTAACATTAATCACCTAAGTGCTTGCTTTGGTATCATCATGCTAATAGGTATGAGATCTCTTACTCGTTATCATATAGCATGAGTATAACACTCATAAGTCTAACCATATATTTTCATTTGTGTACATTAATATTTGTCTCACATGTTTCGATCAATCACTAATGCAATGCATATCATATGGACTTCTATCTAATTCTATTCAATAAACATAAATAATAAGAATTAATTGAAAGACTTTTTTATTAATAAAATAAATAATACAATATTACAATGAGTCAAACCTATATAAACAAAGTTAGATCTAGAGCACCTACACTAACAAAGTGGAGGATGAATTTTAGGAAAAATAAGAGGAAACAAAAGAGGAAATTTTGAGAGGAGGAATTATGAGAATTTTGAGAGAAATTGGTCATAAGAATTTCTAAGGAAATTTTAGAGGAGAAGAATTCGGGCAATTTTGAGAATTGGTTTAAAGGAGAATTTCTAGGCTTAGGGGATTTTTCTAGGGTTTTTTTTTCTAGGTTCAAAGTTTGTTTCGAGGTTTGGAGAGTTGTTTTTGGGCTTGGACAAAGAATAATCAAAAGGAAGTAAGCGTAAGGCAACCTCCTCTTACCATCGTTTCACTCTTCATCAAGTGAACCGGGTAAATTTTTTACTTTACTTTTTGTTATTCAATTAAAACCATCACCCTAATGAGGATTAGGAAAATAGGACTTGTTGCGTTAATTCTATATTAGAAGAAAGGGAATAGTCATGTTGTTTCAATAACAAGCAGTTTTGAATCAAATAAAATAACTTTTTTTATTTTATGCGAAAAAAAAAAAGACTTTTCGAAAAAAATGAAAAAAAAAGAATAGATTAAAAAATATATATAATTATAATATTAATAATTAATATTATAATATATTATTAACATAATAGCCACTTTAGATTATGCAATATTTTCTTCATTAATTACTCCAGATTCATTTCCATGTAAAGATCATTTCATTCATGAGTACGTTCACCTACTTCGCCAAATACGGATACACCCATGAGCTTTTGTAATGTTGTTGATTAATTCCATAGTTAGTATTGTTTTACCCTAACTCTAGTTTGTTCAAAAACCAATAATGGTAGTGATTTAGTCACTACTACCATACAACATGTAACACCCTCTCCCTCGTTTCCTTATAATTGGAGGGAATCAATCGAAGGAAGAGGGAAGGCTTTCCGGGTTTTTCTAGGTAAGAAAACAGAATAAGATGGGAGATGAATGATGAGAGAGGGAGGGAATTGGATTAGGTCCGAGAAAATAAAAGAAAATTTGATTTAGAGGAGGAGGTCATGTCAAGCTTGGGAGAAAATCTTAGTCTTAAAGGAGAAACAAGGTAAAGGAGATGAAGAACAAAAGTTGTTTTAATCATTAGCTTAGGTAATTAATAGGTGGACGAATTATCGAGTCTCTTAATTTTTAAGGACTAATGACGATTCCTTACCAACAATAAATAAATAAAGGAACAAAAAAAGAAAGGAATATTAGGAAAATAAAAAGAAAATGTTAGAAAAAAAGGAAAAAGAGAGAAGAAAAAAGGGGAGAAAATGCTAAGAAAAATTAAAAAAGTTTACTATCCGATAGGAACCGTTGTTAGCCAAAAATCATTTAGTAATTAGGTTGTACCGTGACATGTTGATCATATTGAGACTTAAAATAGATCCAATGTTGAACTAACGTGTCTCTTGACGAAGAGGTCCTACGATCGATTCAATATGATACCACAAATAAAACTAAAAAACTTAATTTGGTCTAGAAAAAACTTTTAAATCAAAAATAATTTGGCACAAATAAAACACCTTAGAAGATAAATATTATGAGCAAATTAGACGTGGTACCTTTATTCGGAATGGACAGCTTTGGATGATCAATATCTTTCTAAAAGTGTAACCAACTCCTTACACTAAAATCTCTAGACCGAGTGCTATTTTTAGGTTCTTAGTTCCTACAACACTAGGTGGTGACTCTCAAAATCAATAATAACCGACATCCCATAAGTAATTCATAAAAAAATCTTACATTTTTTTAATTTTTGAGACTTTCGTCTAATGTTGGGTAGTGACGAGAGGACATCATATGGTGATTGGAGCAAGTGAAGGTAGTGTTAAGGTTCCGAGGGGCAGTTTCATATTTTTGGCATACATAGGCATTTTGGTCATTTTGCTCCTAGGGGCATTTTGGTCACTATTTAGTGACCATTTGATTTGTTTCACCAACATATTTATTTTTTTAATTAGTTTATGATTTTTTTATAATAATGTTAATTTTATTTGTATTAGAAAACTTAGAAATATTTAGGTTGTAAAATTTATTTTAATGTATGAAGTTTGATTTTGTTATGATGTCGGACCAACGAGCCTCCTATTTATTAAAGACGGATCGTGGTTTGATATATTTGTTTAGTATTAAAAATGCTAAAAAAATAATAATAACGAGTAAAGTCGGATCAATTTTATTTAACATTTCACACGAATACTTTTAGTTAATTAGATTGTTTCTCAAAATGTCGAGACTTTAATCCGGATCCGATACTAAATTGACTAGACTTTCAAATTTTGGAACCCGATATTAATTTAATACGATGTTACGAAAAAAAAAACAAACAAAAAAATAATTTTGATAATGTTTTCCTTGCATAGCTCAAAATAAAACATGAAAAGAACAAAAAAAAGAAAGAAAGCATTTTAAGTAATTTTAATAAGTCTCATATCCAATAGGAATCTGCTATTGATTCAAAATCAATCATATTTTAGTAATTAAGTCGTTCTCCGACATACTAGTTACACCGAGACTTAAACTAGATCCGATGTTGGATTGATGAGACTTTCGACTTCGAGGTTCGACGATCGATTCAACATGATGCCTCAAAAAAATAAATAATTAATTTGGCTTAGATAATAAACTTAAAAATTGACTCATAAATATTTTGATAAAAATAAAAATTTTTAGGATTAAACTAGACATGATACCTTTTCTCAAAAAGAGTGCCTTTGAGTGATTGATATCTTTCAAAAAATATAATCAATTCCTTGCTCTAAAATCTCTAAACCGAGTGTTAATTTTTTATTCCTATTTTATTTAATAAAAGTCGGTGACTCCAAAAATTAGTTTAACTCACATCTCTAAACAAACAAATTTCAATCTATATTTTTAAAAGTCCCACGAACGTCGAGTATCGACATATATTATGGCTTTTTATGTAGCATGAATATTTTCAAATAGTTAAATTAGATGTAAATAATACTTTATACGTGTAGCTTAAAATGATGCTAGTATGAATCCTCCGGTAGAAACTAAATATTAATGTTATATTTTGTAAAAATGGATTAGTGCAATTCTTTCTGTTATTTGGTAAAAATAAAATTAAAAAAATTTAAGTTGTTTTAAATAATACTAATTTTCTTGTAACATGCTTCTTATATGTATTATTAAACTATATAGTTAATATTTTTACTAATATTTAATAAATAGATTTGAATTTTTATTAACATGAAAAAAAGAATTGAATGTCTATGAAATTAAATATTTGATATTTAAAATATATTTTGATCATTCATGATTAAATTATTTAATTTTTTCAATGAATATGAAATAAATTTTAATTTAACTTAAATTAATAAAACTAGGAACAAAAAATTGCATTTAATATTTAATAATTCTCATATAAAACGAGGATTTATTTTGTATGCACTCTCCATCGAAGCAACATTCATCCAGTTACAACAGCCACATGGTTTAAATTGAAAACCACCTTTGTCAACAAAAGCTGGAGCAAGGGAGAGGGAGAGAAAGAGAAAGATTGTCCAAAGAGAGAGGGATTTAAGGATTTTTTTTTTTTAATATCAAATTTACATTTTAAAAACAGTTGTAAATTTGAAAAAAATCAAATTTAACAACAACAAAAAGTCAGACAAATAAATGGTATGATGATGATTTTCTTTTCTGATGGAAGGCTGAGATCGCATAAATAATGAAAGTGAAAAAAAAAATAAAGCATATCATGTGACAGTTAAAATAAATTGAGACATAATCCAAGTTAACAGAAGAACTCATTTTTACCTCTAAATTGATATAGAGATCTTTTATATTGAATAATTAGTTTCAAGACTATTTGTTTTTTTTTTTATCAATATTAAGAAAACCTAATACATTTTATCCTGCTTAAAATTTTAAATCGTTAATTAAAAAATTAAAAATATTTATATCTATTAAAAAATATATAAAATTATCGTTACGATCTCATTCACTCAACAGTTTAAATTTTTATATTAAAATAGTTTTTTGATATGGTATTAATGTTTCGATGATCAAACGATTATAAATTTGAATTTAATCATATTAATTTTTCTTGTGCAAGTTTGAAGCTCAAAAAGCTTACACTCAAATAATCGTATTAGAAAATGATATAAATAAAAGCATTAGATTTATAACACAACCAAACATCAAAATACAATGTCTCTAGAATACCACACGAAGCTCTTCCAGTCATGTTTATGGAACTGGATAATATTTGTTATTACACATGCACTTATAGGATATAGGGCATGTCTCAGACTGAGCAGGGGAGGCACATATAGAGCTAACTACTTTTAATATGCAAGGTGTACATGTCCCACAGGCATGCGAGCAATCAGGTAACCTTGAGCCGGCGATTTGAAGTGGGTGTTCTCCATTTTGCTTCGTTTTCCACCTCTCAACTCCGTTGGAAGTTGGTGTCAGTCTCCCCATGCTGCTGCTGCTTCTTCTGGGCCATATGGTAACATGTTCACCATGACCATGACCTATAAAGCATCATAGTAATTAATATTTAAATAAAATGAATCATGCAGTTCTTACTCCTATATTTTTTTTGGTCATGGTGCACTCGTTATATATGGCCAGGATCATGATGAATTGACCAACAAAAATTCTATATTTTCCTACTAGTATTTAGGATTAGCCTTTATGATTGATCCCTCATATTGACTCTTTTTCACTTGACTCGTTGAGTCTTACTCTTAAAAATTCGTGTATGACATTAAACGAATTATAGTAGAAATATTATGATACATACAATTAAAAAAAAAAAATCGTGCATGTTAGGCAGCCATGTACTTACTCACTCTGCGAGCAGAAGTGGTCACGAGTGGAAAGATAAGAGCAGCAGCAAGGAATATTGCTACAACGTAGAAGAGTGAATGTTTCATTGTCTTGGGGATTTGTTTTTGTAAAATTATGGAGTGCTGCAATTAGAGATATATAGAAAGAGGAAAAGTGAGATTGAAGAAAGATGTATTTATAAGGGTTGGGAAAAGGAAGGAATTGAAGTGTATCACAGACCGTATAAGGGAAGGAGAGATTGAACTCACATGAAAATGGGTGAACCCAAAGTCCTCACATGGATTTCTCTTTCACACTGAATTGCCTGCGCATTGTGTTACTACTAAGGATCATATATATGCCTTGTGTCGGAACTTTGTTGGTTCTATAGTTAATGAAGTACAGTTCTGCGAAGAGTCAAAGCAAAAATGACCTATCAATAAATTGTTGGTACAATAATTAACGAACTAATTTTCAAAAGAATTATCTGTCAAATTAATCATATTTATGGAGAAAAATTAAACTTTATCTCTTCTGTTTTTTTTTAAAAAAAATAATCATATTTTTAATATGTGATAAAAATTGATCCAATAATAAACAAATTGATCTTTAAATGAATTGTTTGTCAATATACAAGGTTTGAATTATGAAACCATACTTATTGAGAAAAATTAAACTTTTTCTTTTCTATTCTAAACAAAATTAGTCATATTTTTAATATGCGATGAAAATTGATCCAATAATAAACGAATTCGTCTCTAAACAATGATTTGTCAAATACAAAGTTTAAATTATGAAATCGTACTTATTGAAAAAAATTAAACTTTATCTCTTCTATTCCGAATAAAATTTGTTCTATTTCTAATATGCGACGAACTGATCTCTAAATGAATTGTTTATCAATACACAAAATTTGAATTATAAAATCGTACTTATTGAAAAAAATTAAACTTTATCTATCCTATTCCGAACAAAAAATTAATCCTATTTTTAATATGCGATAAAAATTGATCCAATAATAAACGAATTATTTGTCAATATACAAAATTTTAATTATAAAATCGTACTTGTTGAGAAAGATTAAATTTTATCTCTTCCGTTCTAAACAAAATTAATCCTATTTTTAATATGCACAAAAAATCAATCTAATAATAAATGAATCGGTCTCTAAATAAATTGTTTATCAACATATAAAATTTAAATTATAAAATTCTATTTATAAAAACATAATTAACTTTATCTCTTCAATTTTGAAAAGAATTAATCATATTTTTAATATACAGCGAAAAGAATCGAGAATCGATATATGGAAAACACAAAAGAAAGTGTCCAAAATGAGATGCAAAGATTGATCAGCAGGCCCCGTGCCCCTGCCCTTTGGTCATTGGGTCTGGTAGTGATAGCACCTTCAGTGTACGTTTGGTGAGAGCTGACAAGATTGGACTGGCCACAGCAGTAGACAAAGCATGATTCAACCAGACAACAGAGTACATTTTGAAAATGGGATGGGACACAAAAAAAAAAAAGTAACTTTTATCGGAATCCATGTACTCATGCGTCAAACCATCCTTCAAAAAGTACTTCCCTGTATTTTGGTTGTCATAACTCATAACCCAAGTTTCGTTAACCCCAATTCCATGTGTTAGAATAAAATTCTCATCGAATTGGTCTACAAAATCATGTCCAGTGACGATTTTTCTCCCAATAAAAAAAGGTAGAAAGTTGTAAGGCCTCTATCAAATGTTTGGCAGTTTGGGCCTCCATTATCGTGTAAATCATGGCCTGTAAATATCATAGGCATAATTGTTAGATGGCCGGACAAAAAGCCCTTTCCAAGAAAATGGGTTGAAATGTTGTGCAGAGTCGGATAAAAGAAGAAAAGCCGATCTAGGTCCAACATGGCAATACCTGTCTTCATATTTACATAGAAGGCCATTTTTAATCCTCCATATCTGCGTCATATATATGGATTTTCTATGGAGATCCATATGATTTTCTCATGTCCAATTTTTGTTAAATAAAATGCACATAGTGTATTAAGAAAATATTTTAAATGCATCAAATATAATTAATTTTTTATATGTATATATTTGAGTATACAGATCTATCAATTAGAAGATATTCTATCATTTTTTATATTATAATAAGTCGGGTATTTTTATCCTTCTTCACCTCTGCTTTGGTTGAGGTTCAAAAACCCATCATAACTTTTGTTCAAAACGTTAATCCATTGATGCAAATTTTATTGATCCAAAAAGTTGATTCGAAAATCCATATAGATTGATGCAAATTTTATTGATCCGAAAAGCTATTCGAAACCCATAACCTGTTGGTGACGACAAAGCCGTCAAAGGTTGTTTTTGAGAATCCATTGTAAAAGACTTATTTTTATGGCCTTTTGTGATTCGGACAATCGACTCAAATTGCTCCATTTTAGGAATTAAAACTTTATGGTTTATGTTTTTTTATTTCCATAATTCTATAAGTAATTTTGGATTTTCCGTTAATTTTATTTTCTAATTTAGTTAATAATTAGGACATAATATTTATATTGTTTATAGGTATTTTATCACTATTATAATTCAAATTTACGTGTTTAGAATTTTTTTAATACAAATTCAATTATCCATCAATATATACTATGTACCTCCATACTAGAACGGATGCATTTACCATCCCTACAATCCCTTGAAAGAAAATTAAATTAAAAACAATAAAAGAATGGAAAAAAAGGTTAATCAGTCATACTTAGGATGATATATTTAAAATTTGGATTGAGTAACAATCATCTCCTTTTTAATGGCAGCTTTTTTCTCTTGACTATGGAGCTTGTGGCACATTTAAGTATTTATTATCAATGTTATCCTTGAAATTTTGGCTAAATATTGTCACTTTATTTGATTTGATCATTATCATTGACCCAAAAATTCATTTTAAATATTTTTATGTTTTAGTATTTCTAGCTAAACTTTTTGATAGCTACTAATAAAAATTCAATTTCACAAATAATTTCAATTTTTTTAAAAAAATCAAAGATTATTTTTTTTATTTTCTGAATAATAAAAATTCAATAAATTATAAAAAATAAAAAACAAGTTGGAATTATCTCAACCTTTTTTAGAAGCTTTAAGTAGGTCATATGAATTTACATATATAATTTTATTATGGTTTATAAAATGAACCTATTTTATGTTTTAATTAGGTATTACACATTCGACCATGCAAATATTTTAAGAATCATACTAAGACTAAACGAGATAAATGTATATGATTGTTTTAGAACCTCAAAAAAAAAAAAATTAAGATTATTCCAAATTATTTTCTATTTCTTACAATTTTGTAAATATTTAAATATTTAATAAAAAATACTTCCTAATCTCAAATTTTTAAAATAGATTGAATTTTTATTAGTGTGTGTGAAAATTTTCAATTCAAAATATAAAAAATTAAATATTTTTATAAAGATTTTTTTGCCAATGATAACAATCAAATCAAATGAATAAATAATATTTATTTAAAACATAATAATTCAAAAATAAAATTGATCAAAATAATAACAAAAGCTTCAATGTGTCGCAATTTCAATATTTGAGCAAAAATGTCATTAAACCCTCAATAATAATAATAATAATAATAATAATAATGTTAACGCTCGAATGAGATTTTTCATTTTTAAAAAATAATAGACATCTTACCGTCAAAACATTAGTATGTATTGTTGTGTCCATTAAAACATCAAAGCATTATCTAGTAGTGAAAATGTGAGATAGCATAAAAGCATTTATGAGATAAATGACCTTTTGGCTGCTTCTTTGTGGAGCGTTAGTTTTGCTTGTTTGCTAATGGTGGTGGTTGCAATTTCTTGTCAAATGGATGAACTAGCTGGGTGAGATTAAAAGTGGGGATTTGGACCCAGAAATGTCACACTTCATACGGGTTGTCTGGTCTTCATCATCATTGACAATTTGTCATAATACACGTCCATCTCTCATCCAGCTACGGTAAGGTGGATTGTTTGCTTCATGATTGGCTTCATTTCCATCCACATGACTAGATCTATCATTTGCTGACATTTTTTTTATTTTTACTTCCCCGTTAAACTTTAAGCTTTTCTTTCCTTGCTCTCGGATGGCACATCATGCACTGCCCTTGTTGACTGATCACTACTGCTCTTAGCAACTTTGCCTCCCTAAAAATAATTGGTAGATAGGTCATACTGTCCTACACCATATGAGGAACTATGAAGAACTAATCACTACAAAGAATTTACCAATTAGTGATGTATTTTACCGACGTCATTCATCCCATCTCTAATTAGCGACACATTAACGATTGGTTAGCGACCGAAATAAAAAATTAATATTTGTGACTTTTTAGTGATGAGATATTAGCGATGGATTCTTTTTTGTCGCAAATTTATGCGGTAAAAAAAACATCACTTTTAGCGACGGATTAACGACACATTTCCGTCACTAATTAGCTATGGACGAATATTTGTCGCTATTTCGTCACTAATTTGACATGCAATGTAGTGACGGAGTCAAATCCGTCACTAATTTTAAGCTTGTGACGAGAAAATGGAGAGAATTAGCGACATATATGTCACTATCTTGGTTTACGAATAGCAACGAAATCAATTCTATCGCTATTTTGGGGGCTTTTTTCCCATAAAAAATTCATCAATTAGCGACAAAATGATGATTCCATCGCTAATTGGTGCATTTTTAGGGGCAAAAATCCCCCCAAAATAGCGACGGAATCAGCACTTTGTCGCTATTTTGAGGGGATTTTTCCTCCCAAAATCCACCACTAGCCCTTATAAATACCCCCTCTCCTTTCATCCTCCCCATTCCTCTCCCTCTCCTCTACCAAATAACCATGCTACTTCACGAGCATCGAGCGACTCTCCAAATTGTTCAACAAAGTGAGGTGCAACTTTCTTCCTCAAATTTAGACTAGATCTTTTCTCTTTATCTCTCGGGTAAAACTTTCTCTCTCTAACTCTTATGTTTTTGTTTAAATTAAATAAATGTTAATAATTTTATAGATTAATTTTGTTATTTGTTAGTTGATTAATTATTTGAATGTTGTTAATTTTGTTGTTATGTTAGTTTTTAATTATGTTAAGTTGTACTTTAATTATTATTGTTTAGTTAATTTTCTTACGGTTAGATTAATGTTGTTAAGTTTTTTTAGTGATGTTAATTTTTAGATTAATTTTATGTTAATGTAAAATTAAAAAAGTTTAATTATGTTAAATTTTTAGGCTAAATATTATTAATGTAATTTTTTTTTTGTAATTTAGTTTAGGTCGATTTATCGTTAAACTAAAAATATATATATTTAAGTAATTTAGTTTGAAAATTAAAAAAAATTAGGATAAAAATGTAGTTGGAAAATAAACGTAAATGTTAAAATATAATAAACATTTTATTAATTAATAGAATTTGATAAACATTTTATTTAATTTCATTTATAATTAAATTAAAAACATTTTAATTTATGTAATTTAGGAAAATTTAAATTAAATTTATTATCAAATTAGTTAGGAAAATTTAATAAAAATAAACGTTCTTAGCTTCAAAATATTTAAAATTTCATGTAACTAATTTTTTTTTAATTTATGTAATTTATTTTGGAAATTAAAATAATTGAAATAAAAATGTAATTGGAAAATAAACATAAACGTTAAAATTTAATAAACATTTTATTAATTAATAGAATTTAATAAACATTTTATTTAGGATTAGTTAAACTAAATTTAGTTGAATTTATTATTAAACTAGTTAGGAAAATTTAATAAAAATAAATATTTAGAAATTAAATTTAGTTGAATCCATTCGGACCAAAAACTTTAAACTTAATACCTAAATTTACGCTTCATTTAATTAATTTAGACTTAGAATAATGCAATTAGATGAGATAAAATGAAAAATCACATTTAAATTGCAAAATTAGCTTCAATTACCTAAAGTAAGGTTTAGGCTCAATAAGGCCGAATGGAGTTTATGCATATAATTGATTAATGAATGCCTAATTGAGTTAAATTATGTATAATTTAATGAAATTATATAAAAAATCGATGTTGAAATTAAAAGTAAAAGTTTAGTTTAGGTTAGGGTGATTATTTGACCTAAGGTAAAAAATTAAAATAAAATAAAATAAAAATAAATCATTGAATCTTATAAAATTAAGTATTTAAGAATTAAAAATTAAAAAATATATATATATATATATATATATATATATATATATATATATATATATATATATATATATATATAATCATTCTATAAAGAATTATTAAATATAAAGTCAAATTCTTAAAACAAAATTCATAAATAATTAGAGACAATTATACAACTAATATATATATGCTTAATTTTTATTTAACATTCATAAGAATGATGATAGGTAATTGTTTTCATTGGTTATGTCATTTTTATAGTAATTAAAAAATGAAATCCGATCAACAATGGATGAATGTTAGGTTAGTTCACGAATTGTTAAATGATGACTTTGTCGAAATGTAGAACAATTTTTAGCTTTTACTTGTTGAGCATCCTAAATGTATGGATGGAACCAAAATTAGGTGTCCTTGTAATTTTAGTAAGTATCGAAATTGAACTATGAAAAGGTTGAAATGGTAAAATATCATTTATATCATACGGGTTTTGTGCTTGGGATACTATGATTGGGTACAACATGGTGAATTTGAAAGCTATATGGCATCTAAAAATTCTATGAGTTAGTATATTTCTGAAAATTATTATGTAGGCGAAGGTAGTTCCAATGAACCCTAAAACCCATATGAAACTATGATAATGGATGCAGTCGGTCCATCCTTTGATCCGTCTAACACGGAAAAGGTTCCTAATCCTAGCGCATAGCATTTTGACTATATGTTGAATACATCACGTAGAGAGATTTGACTCGGTTATGATAAGCACTCGTAATTATCAACAGTTGTTCAAATGCTGAATCTAAAAGTCGAATATTATTTTTCGGATAAGTGTTTTGACCGGTTATATGAGCTGATGAAAGAGTTGATGCCGGTTGATAATCGTATGACAATTTTTATGAAACAAAGAAGCTGGTTAAGGGGATAGGTTTATCGGTTGAAAAAATTCATTATTATCGAATGGGTCAATTACCATATCAAACTATGGTAATGGATGTAGCTTCGTCCATCCTTTGATCCGTCTAACATGGAGGAGGTTCCTAATCCTAGCGCACAACACTTTTACAATATGTTGAATGCATCACGTAGAGAGATTTGACACGGTTGTGATGAGCACTCGTAATTCTCAAACGCTGAATCTAAAAGTTGAATATCATTTTTCGGAGAAGTGTTTTGACCGATTATGTAAGTTGATAAAAGAGTTTATGTCGATTGATAACTATATGGTAGATAATTTTTATGAAACAAAGAAGGCTGGTTAAAGGGATGAGTTTACCGGTTAAAAAAATTCATTGTTGTCAAAATGGATGCATGATTTATTAGAAGGAAGACAATGAATTAAATAAATATAGATTTTGTCAACATTTTTTATATCGAAGTTTTCGTCGAGGATCGAAAAAGGAAAACTTGTTCTAATTAAGAAAATGTACTCCTTTCCTCTAACCCCACATCTGCAGGCAATTGTATGCATCAAATGAGACAACCGAACACATGATGTGACATGTTGAACATGGGGGAGATGATGCAGGAGTAATGCTTCAGCCTTCGATTCTATTGCATGGCAAAGATTCAATCGGATTAATCTTCCTTTTACGAGTTAAGAGAAGGAACGTTCGATTAGGAGTGTGTACTAATGGATTTCAACCATTTGGTCAATCCGATGTGCAATATTCCTCGTGGTCGATCATTGTGACTCCATACAATTTTCCACCATGAATGTATATGAAGGAGGAATATATATTCCTAACGAGTGATTTTTTCGAGTCCAACATATCCGAAACATAAGTTAGACGTTTACTTATAGCCTTTCATATCCGAGCTTATTCAGCTATGAGAGGTGGGTGTGGTGACTTATGATATGTACCGTAAGCAGAATTTTTTATTGAAAACTATAGTTATATGGACCATCGGTGACTTTCCTACATATTCGATGATGTCCGATTGGAGTACTACAAGAAAAAAGCTTGTCGTTACTATATGAAAAATTCATATGCTTCTCCCTTCCTAATGGAAAGAAGACCTCATGGTTTGACAATCATCAAAAGTTTTTTCCTAATGATCATCCATATAGAAGAAAAAAGAAAGCATTCATTGTAAAAAAAGTTATTAAATCCGACCCTCCTTCGATTCGATCTAGAATAAAGATGTTACATGTAACGCCTCCGCCCCAATCATATTTCTACTACCTAAGTAGGGTACTCGGACGATGCACATTACGCTAACATACCCTAAACTCTAAGTAGTTTTCTTATGATATTCTTAGGACTTTAACGAGTACATTACGTATATAACTCCTTAAGATAAAATTTACATAACATAATTAAATACATTAATAAAACATTACGAGCGATATTTAATTTCTCACGAACTTCATACCCCAAATTTACGGATAAAATAAAAACTAATATATGGTGCCTCACATGAGCCGATTAAGAGGAGCCAGCCGTATCCATACCAACTTGTCCTTTTTCTCGTCAAGACATAAAAAAATAACAACAAGGTGAGTCGAAGCTCGATAAGCAAGGTGATGCACGTGATATGTAATGTTGTTTTGACTTCCCACCATACTCATAAATTTTAATCTCGGGTACCCTAGGTATTAGCCGATCTACTCTATTTATCATCCGAGTGGTTCGCAGATCACCTTCTGCTACAACGGAATTATCCCTCGTTGTAACTACCGTTAACGGGAATCCATTATCTAACAGGTGCAAGCACACGGCTTGATTTCATCCGGATGATCCTCGGATCATCTTCTGCTACAACGGAATTATCCCTCGTTGTAACTACTATTAGCGAAAATCCATCGTCTAATAGTGCGAGCACACGACCTAGAGTACTTGGACTACTAATACCCATTTATTCGAGTTAGGTTATCAAACCTAGATGTAT